GACTCTGGAGAGCTTTGAGTCGTCGAAGCCGTCCGTTCAGGACCTCACTCTCAAGCTCTTTACCGCCCTCAACCCCACCAACGAGGCAAAGACTTTGTTGTCATGGGTCTTGGCTGCTGAGCGACCTCTCACAATGGATGAGATCAACACCTTGTTCTCAGTCGACGTGCAGCACAGCACTGTGACCGACAAGGGTGTAAACACGAACGAGATCTTCAGGACGCTTGAGCCGCTGTTTACTCTGCACCAACGTATTGTTCGTTTCAAGCATCCCGTCATCCACTCCACGCTCCATGACTTCTCCGCCAACGGAAAGATTCCCATCCCTCTGAAGGACAGTGAGACCGACATGCTTCTCAGGGTTCTTGCTTACACCAAGCACACCCTGAAGGACCACAATATCGAACCTACCTTCGACACGTTCGATCCTACCACTCCCGACAGGCTGTTCAGGAGGCATCCTTTCCTCGAGTACGCGGTGCGGTACTGGGTTCTGCATCTTCAACAGTCTCCACTGGCTCCCAAGTCTACTGGCGAGTTCAAGCCTACAGTCGAGCTTCAGAAGGTGTTCCCCAACAGTACCATGTTCCCCATCTTGGAGTCGTACTGCTGGGACACTCAACTTCCCATCCCCGAGGCTTTGGATCTGCAAAAGCTTGTGGTCGTTCTCCGCAAGAGCACCCTCCCAGAAAACCACCCTGGTCTTCTCCAGACTTACCTGTCCATCGCAACGAGCTACCTGCTCATCTCAAACATCCCGGAAGCGACCAAGTACCTCTACTTGTGCACCTTCGTCAGCCGAAAGGTCTTGTCTGACATGCATCCGTTGACTCTGGAGTGTGCTAGTCAGTTCTTGAAGATCACTGAGACTCAGACTACCACCACGAGGACTGAGATCATGACCCATCGTGAGGAAATACTCAAGGTACTGATCACGACTTATGAGCGCCAGTACGGAAGCACTTCTGAGCTAGTCATTGAGACCCGCAAGCTTCTCGCTCAGCTTTACACGCACATCAACGAAGAGGATAAGTCTATCGAGATCTATCGCCTCATCCAGGACGCAACCGTCCAGCTTTACGGCAGGGACTCGCACCAGGCCCATGACATCAATGAATACTTCAAGGTCACTCTTGGAAAGGACACAGGCGCTCGCGAGATTGGGGATGTCTACGACGACCTTTTAGATTATGACCACGAGGAAGAGGAGACCATCGAAGCCCTCACCATCTCCACTATAAACGCTCAGTTGATTCAAATCCAGAAGCTTCTCTCCATGAAGAAGTTCGCGGAGGCTGAAAGGATGTACGTTGAGCTTTGGATGGAAGTCTCCTCCAAGTGCCGCACCGTCCAGTCTGTGGAATGGCATGAGAAGAACATTGAGATCGCCACTTCTTATGCTCAATTCTTGAAGAATCAGAAGCGCACCAGCGAGTCTACCGCCATTCTTTCGTCAGTCTGGCAACAGTACGAGTCGCACCAGCTGTCCTTCGCGAACAGCATCGTCTCGCGCTTGTTGACCGTTGGCAAGGAGATGCGAAGCATGAACGCACACTCGCAAGCGCTCTCAATTTTCAAGTTCGCCCACTCTTACCACAAGAACATGAGCTCTCAAGAGAACAGTGAGTCGCGCGAGGTCAGCCAGCAATTGTCTGAGACTTCGAAGGAGCTCGTCCAGCACAGCCTGAACAGCACTGGAACTACCACTACAACGACGGTATCGGAATCTGTCTACCAAGATGTGTTCTTCTCGACCATCGCAAGCTCCAAGACGATTGAGGCAAGCACCATGTCGCTAGCCAGGCAGCTTGTCACTCAACACATGGCAAAGAAGAACTACACCGCTGCCATCAACGTCATTCACGCGACTCTGCAGCGCACTTGGTCTTCATTCCTTGCCAACTCCATCCATGATGTCACAATGGCGACTGTATTTACTCAAGAGTCGATTGAGCTCGTCGAGCGCCTCGCTGAGTGCTACCTGCAGACGCGCCAGCTGGACAAGGTTGACGATGTGTACAACCGCTTCTTCCGCGCGGTCTTGGTCACTGAGAAGGTCGACAAGGCCACCTTCGAGAGGTCGAAGAACCTGTTGATCAACTTCTACGACAAGCACGGCTACGCCGACAAGGCTATTAGCACCTACCAGGAGATTTTGGTTGTGTACCGCGCACGTCTTGGCCACACCCACGAGCTCACCATCCAGACCTTGTACATCTTGGCCCAGAGGTGCCGTAGCCACCCTCGCAACCACGGCTACTGGCTCGACTACTACCTGCAGATCATTACTGCGCTCAACAAGGACTCTGATGTCTGCCACAAGGACGCACTTGACGCCATGCTGGTAGTCACTGTCACCTACTGGGAAGATCGCAGGTACGCAGAGGCAGTTACCTTCTACGGAGTCTTGTGGAACACCTTCGTCCGTCAAACCAAGCAGCACAAGGTCTTCACCGACGTCAAGTTCGTCGAGACACTGTACGAGCGATACTACCAGTGCCTGGAGGAGACCAAGGCCAACTGGTCTGAGCTCTACAAGGTTACCAAGGAGTACCGTGAGACTGCCATTGCCGTCTTCGGTGCTGAGTCGACCACTGCTATCAACGCAACTCTTGCACTTGCTCAGGTTGCCCAGAGCAGTGAGGCGCACATGTCCGAGGCTATCGCTTTGTACGAGGCGGTGCAACAGTCAGGCAAGCAGGTGACGACCACCACCAGCACCACAGAGATCAACCAAGCTTTGTCATCTCTCTACGTCAAGCAGATGCACTCTTCGCTCTCCAGCAACATGAAGGCTGAGACTGTCCAGCGTGCTCTGAGCATGTCTGAGTCGCAGTTCCAGCAATCTACACGCGAGAACGGCTACAGCCACGAGTCCTCGCTCACTAGCTTGAGGGAGCTCGCGTCTTTGTACTCGCGCCAGCAGAAGTCAGATCTTGCTGTCAAGCAGATCTCCAAGGCTGTTTCCGAGATTGTGTCGAAGGAGACTTCTTCGCAGAAGCAGATCGAATCGGCCAAGTCCATTGCCGCCACCTTCCAGGCCATCGAGCAGACCAGCACTGCTCACGCCATGGTGCAAGAGCTTCACCGTCAGATCTGCGCCAAGGATGCTCGCAACGCTTCCAAGTGGTCGTTCGACCTGACCAAGAGCAGCCGTACCGCCATCGCCTTCCTGGCATCCCTCCAGTACAACTTGCGTAGGGATCTCAGCATTGGCTTCTCGGAGATCTACGCTGATCTAACCATGGAGTACATCTACTGGGTGCAGTTTCACTCGACTCTGGACAACAACGAGAGCCTCACCAACATCCTGCTCGCTGCCGCTCCTCTCCGCTACTTCTTGCGCCGCAACGATCAGCAAGACATGATCACGGTAGTCGAGGAGCAGGCCGTTGGTCTCTTCGTCAAGCGTGACGCCCAGGACCTGAAGGACTTCAGCAAGGAGTCGCCACGCATCTTCATCATTGGCATCCTTGACCATCTCGGCCACGGACGCAACAAGAACTTCAACCGCGCCGTCATTCTCTCCAGCAATGACAGCGTCGCCAAGCTCACCAAGGCGAAGAAGTTCCACGAGGCATACGACATTGCCAACCTCGGCTTCCTCTTCGCCCGCAAGAACGACGGTTACAATGGTCCTCGTGCCATCAGCATGGGCTTCAAGCTCGCCTCCCTGCTCGTTGGACGTGACGGTGAGAAGTGTCCCGACGCCACTCTCCGCAAGAAGATGCTGGACCTCTCCAACCGCATCGTCAAGCAGATCTTCGAGATTTGCAAGAAGCTCGAGATCAACTTCGCTCAAGTCCAGCTCTACGAGTTGTCCCACCTGTCCGCTCTTCTCGGCGAACAGGAAGACTACGAGACCCTCGAGTGGCTCCTCACCACCCTCTGGCAAACCCGCGATGCCCAGCGCTCATGGCCCTCCGAGGTCTTGCTTAACCTCGGTCGCCGTCTCATCTGCGCCCGCTACATGGCGAACCACCAAGTCAAGGCCATCCGTCTCGCCGAAGACATCGCGTACAACATGCGCCGTGCCCACGGTCCCCGCGCCCCCGTCACCATCGAAACGTACGAGCTCCTCGCGCAGCTCTACACCTCCACCGGCCACGCCTACCAGGCCCAAGCCGCCAAGGGCGAGAAGACGGCCAGCCTCGCAGCCGACTACTTCAAGAAGGCCATCAGCGTGCACGAAGACATCCTCCGCGTCCTCGTCAACGACCAAACCTCCGCCTCCAACGACTCTGACGACGAAGACGACACCACCGCCGAGCTCCTCGCTCGCGAAGGCGTCAACGTCCAGAACTCACCTAACAGCCCCCGTCCCGCGGCCGTCGACTCAAACACACTCGACAAGTCCGCCACTGCGCTCAAGCACTTGCACCTCCTCAAGCTGGCGTACCAGCGCTACGGCGGCTGGCCCAAGAGCTACAACGAGTACGAACACCTCAATGCTCAGCTGTTCCGCCTGTTTGGCGCAGAGGCTAAGTGGAAGGGCGTTGAGGGCACCGAGAAGTGGGATGCGAAGACGTTCGGTGCTGGCAAGGCGGAGAGCCAGGAGGGTGGCTTCCGCGGCATTGCCGACTGGAGCCTTGGCAGTGAGGAGCTGGTCTCTGTTGGCCACGGACATGGTCAGGGACAGCATGGTGCTATGGTTGGTAATGGTGTTGTTGCTCCGTTGAAGACTCACATTGACTACTAAGAGGTTGCATTTGGTCTGTTTCGAATAGCGCGTTTTGATCGTTGCTCACACATTCCCTTGAGTCATTGAGTTAGAGATGAAAGAAGTCTTGCTTGTTTCGATCGACTGGTTTTGATCGTGTTTTTACAAAAGTTCACACTTTTCTTTCTTTGTGTCAGTCAGTTAGCTGGTAATAATAGTTTCACGGCGTTTCTGAATCGATCGTCCTTCTTAATATCTTTTCCATTGGTGCTGTGACGCTTACCTTTATACAATGATACTTCAAGTTACCCTATCATCTGACTCTCCTTCTGTGCGTACTCTACTCTTTGCTCAACAAGTCCGCAATCGAAGCCGCCGTAGCATTATGGATAGGGAAGGTAGGATGTAGCTCGTTAAGCCACAAGTACTCGTTAACCGGGTACTCGCACGAAGCATCCTTAGTGTACCAATCTGGCGTTCCACTTTCAATCTGTTAGCAACTGTCTCTGTCATATCCAAGCAGTACTTACTTCATATAGGCCGCACAGTAGCCCGTGACATTCTTCAATCCAGCCGTCTGCTCATAGCTCGCGGGGTCCTCAATAACCTTGTTGAACAACCCCCACGTATCATGCACAAACACCTTCGTCCCGCTATGATTCGCCTGAAACTCATCAACCATCTCCCCCAGCCTCTTGTTCCAATCTAGGATGACCTTCCCCTCGTTCTCCACCGCATACCCCCCATCATCCTGGTTCAGCGTCAACGGCGCAAGATTGACAGGCGGTACGCTCAGAAACAAGAAGTTGCGCGCCCCAGTCTCATACACGTCGTCGAGGAGGTCGGCGTAGACGGAGAAGATGGTGTCGTAAAGCGTGGCATTGTTGAGCCACCAGCTGTTTCCTACGTCGTTGATGCCGATGAAGAAGGCGAATAGTGAGGAGGATGACGTCCAGGGTGCGGTATCTGGGTGGGCACCGTATGTGGGGAGGAACTCCGTGCGGACTTGGTTCTTCATGCTGATGACGGTGGGGGCATATGGTGTCACGAGGTCGGAGTCAACGGTAGCGCCACCGTAGGCCATGTTGTAAGTCAGTAGGTTGCTGGCATTGTAGGTCGTAGAGAGGAAGCCGACCCAGTTGGGTCCGTTGGAGGACGTGTAGCCGGGGTACGCCGGGTTACCGAACGGGTTTGAGGGGCTGGGCTGTGTTCCGTTTACGTCGAAGCCGGTTTGTGTGTAGGAATCACCGAAGACGAAGAGTTGTTTGACATTTTTCCAGTCTGACCATGATGAACTGTTTGTGTATGGAGCTGCGAGGGTGGTAGTTGCTAGGGATAGCGCGAGGGTAATTGACTTGACCATCGTGGTGTCCGTTTTCTGCAGTTCACACAGAATGAAGGTAGCTAGGAAGTAAACATTGAAGAGAGCACGGCATGTTAAGTATAATAAGGACAGAATCACACCAGTACCCAACTAATCCGGGTCCCCGACCAGACGATCTACAGGTGCGAACGAGGTAAATTGCTCGAGATTACTTGACGTATGCGAACACCCCACATATTGCAACTAGAGCGCATACTACACTGAGTCGCTCGCGGAATAATTTTGGAAGGACGTTTGTGATGCACTAACGGCTTGCGCGTGAGTAGTGCGCGTAGAATGCTTGCCCGGAACGAGGTCCGAAGAGGGTGACGCTCCGTGTTGTAACGGGTATAGTGGGTCGGTGAGCATCATCGTCGACGCGCGATATTGGAGTTGTACTCCAGATTACTGATCTGAATGGATATGAAACACGTGCGATGTTTGTACCTGTGCTTACCTTGACACAGGGTGGCTGGTAGAAACTTCTGGCGCGAGGTCAGTGCAGTAGACGTTGTGAGATGCATGCAACAATGCCATGGCGCGGTCTTCATGACTCCTGAATGTTCAAGCTCAGATGAGAGAGTAGGCGAATTAATGTGTCCTCCTGGGGTATGTAAACGCGTTATGGTGTGCGTCTCCAAGGTCCCGTCCGCGTGAAGGGAGTGGGTGCAGTCCCACCATCTCAGAACGACAACAATATTGGGATGAAGCAAAGACTGAGTGAAAGTGTTTCTGGGAGAGAAGCGAAAAGGGAAGAAACTGTATCAAAAAGCGCCTGGCGGTGTAGTTGCATTTGCCAGAGAACTGGCCCTGAGGGTCGGCTGTGAGGGTGGGGCGCGGCGCAGGCACTCAATCAGCGCTCGTATACACGTATAGCAATGCGACCGGCGTACTTCGTACCGGCAGCCAGCGGACCTCTGTCACGAGATTCAGAAGCCAGAAAACATTCGGCCGTAGTCAGGTACGATATCAGTCGGATGGAACGGGATGATGCGGGAGTCGGAAAGCAGGAAAGGATCCATCGGCCGAAGCAGGATGCACATGAGAAATGCGTCAGAGGGCGTGGGCGCAGCGAAGACGTGCTTTCCCATGCTGCGTCGCATGCGAAACAGGATGGAAGAAAGACGGGTAAATATCGCAAACTGTGTGGCTAGAAAGCCGGTCAGTCGAGTAGCTATGGGTGGAAAAGGCGTGGCTGAGGAAAAGATGGCGTAGTAAGGCTGAAGACCCTGGCTACCAGCCGCCCGCGTAGACCGCCCGCGTCGACACATGTCATCCAAGCATTGGAACATCGTCTGCCCGTTGCGCTGCATTTTTTCGTACAGCTGCTACAAAGAAGCAACGTGGTAGTTCCCCTTAGTACTCTTGAACAGTCTGGAACCAGAAAAGGGTCAAATTACCCCCAGATCGGCGCTCTGCTATTTGGCTTCGCAGCAATCCGCATTCCGAGTCGACAACATCGTCACCAGCGCGCCCGTGAAAGCTGACAAGGCACCGAACACCCGCCCGACCCTTAGCAATCCGACTTCCGAAATGCCCGGCTGCTAGGAAACATCGTCACCATCGTCACCGTCGATCCCTGCATTCGCTCCACCGCCAGACATTTATACACGCTTGCGCTACACGCCTGCACCCCGCGTGTTTGTACCAAGATTCACCACCACGACCACCTTGACGCATAACAAAGAGAGTTGTAGTAGCAAGATCCAGCAATGGCGGGAATGGAGAACATCGAGGTGCATAGCAAGGTATGTACAGCATCCACGTCGCGCTTCCTCGCTGACTGAAGGCAGTCGTACCTTGTAAGATGGGTCAATGTCTCGTCAGGCCACACCATCTCCTGGAGCGTCCAACCCCACAAGAAGTCGCTCAACTTCGGCATCTTCAAGCACCCCGGAACAGCTACCGGCGCAACTCCCCAGCTGCCCACCTCTGCGCTCGTCGAATCCGGGCCCGGCACGCCTACCCTCGAACCACCTACAACACGCGGACGCGGAGCTTCGACGTCGCGGAATGACAGAACAGTCGTTTTAGACAAGCTGGCGGCTATTGGGCTGCGGCAAGTGCATTGGCATGGGAAATGCGAGGCTGATTTGGTATCCATGGGCACATACGACGTGCCACCAGGCGAGGGTGGCATGTACGGACTGGTCTTTGACAACACCTTCTCCAAGACCGTGTCAAAAACTGCCACCTTCGTCCTCATGACATATCCGACCAACGCGGCGCCCAAGTCTGGTCATCACATGCACTACGCGCAGGCTATGGCGGGCGCGAGCACCATCAGCCTCCCGAAGTCGAGCCCCTCAATGGGCCCCATCGAATCCTCCGAATCCCTACCGCAAGCCTACGCCGAGCGACCGAAATCACAATATGGGCAGAAACAAGGCAGTCTTTCCGGCTCCTCGTTCCTCACAGGAGTGCTGCAGAAGAAGAGGAGAAAGAGGAACCAGGGCTATGCCAGGAGATTCTTCTCTTTGGACTTCACATCCTCAACGCTCTCCTACTACCGGAACGACCATTCTTCTGCACTGCGAGGAGCCATACCCTTGTCCCTGGCGGCTGTGGGCGCGAACGAGGAGACGCGAGAGATCTCCGTCGATTCTGGCGCTGAGATCTGGCAGCTGCGAGCAAACAATGAGAAGGACTTTCAGATGTGGAAGAACGCGCTCGATCGCGCCTCAAGAACCGCTTCGGATAGGGGGGCAGTTGCTTCTCCGACCCTACAAATCAAGAACAGCCCATACCAGAGCCTCCCACACGTTCTGAATTCAGCCGAAGAGAACGAATGGGCAAGAGTCGAGGCTCTGGTTGGCAGAGTCTCAGGTACACGAGATGCAGTACGGAGGTTAGCTCAGGATACCGATCCAAAGTACAACGCATCGTCTGCGATGAGCGTCAGAAACATGGGTGATAGTCTCTCCCCAACGCCGTCCAACGACGAGGCGGGTGACTACTTCCCCGAACAAAAGGCCCCTGAGAAGATGGCTTTCTGGAAGCGCAAGCCGAGCAGTTCCGGCACTCAGAGTCCGTCCGCCGGCATTTTCAAGAGGAGTGTGTCAGCGCAAGTAGGAGTTGCGTCGCCTGGTGCCGTCCCTCCTGGTGCCTCCAATGCGGCAGGTAATGGCACTCTTGCCGTACCCAAACGCAATGGACGCGCGAGCACCATGATGAGTTCCGCAAGCATTCCACATGAGGAGAGCGTTCACGACAACTGCATGGCTCTACTCCGAGACCTAGACTCTGTTGTCAGGGACTTTGCTGATCTGATTAGCGAGAGCAAACAAAGACGGATGCCCCCGGCTGCACCTCTTTCTGCTGTAGGATCACGTCACAGCTTTGACTCAGTGGCCGAGTCTGTAGATGAGTTCTTCGATGCTCCAGATGGCGACGCGAGCAAGTCCCAGCTTCTGACTATCCGACGTGACAGCCAAGAGGATAGCCGCGAACGTGAGCAGTCACCAGATGCCGATTCAGATGGCGAGTCGGAGTCTTCCTCAGAGAATGGCAGTGTGGGAATGCTGGATCGACCTCGCATGTCACGGGAAACTACTCCAGCGCTCTTCCCTACACGACCCAAGTCGCTCACACCTCTGCCGCTTGACCCTGTGAAACGTCGGGGGACGGTTCCAGCCCCGAAGGTTCAACCTCCAAGCCTCATCGCGTTCTTCAGAAAGAATGTCGGCAAAGACTTGTCAACCATTGCCATGCCGGTCTCAGCGAACGAGCCCACATCCGCGCTACAACGACTGGCAGAGCAACTGGAATACAGCGAGCTGCTCGACGCCGCAGTAACCGCAACTCCAGACAACGGCGAGCGCCTCGCCTACATGGCCGCCTTCGCCATATCAGCTTTCAGCAACGCCCGCGTCAAAGACCGCGCCATCCGCAAGCCCTTCAACCCCATGCTAGGCGAAACGTACGAACTCGTCCGCGAAGACAAAGGCTTCCGCTTCTTCGCCGAGAAGGTCGTCCACCGCCCCGTCCGCATGGCTTGCCAAGCCGAAGCCAACGAATGGACCTTTGTGCAATCCCCCACGCCCATGCAAAAGTTCTGGGGCAAGAGCGCTGAAATCAACACCGAAGGCCGCGTCCGCATCTTCCTCCACGCCTCAGGCGAACACTACTCCTGGACGCTCGCTACATCCTACCTGCGCAACGTCATCGCGGGTGAGAAGTACCTCGAGCCCTCTGGCACCATGACCATCATCTCTGAAACCACCGGCGCAAAAGCCGTCTGCACATTCAAAGCGGGTGGCATGTTCGCTGGCCGTTCAGAAGAAGTCTCCGTCCAGGTCTTCGATGCTTCAGGTTCCGTTCTACCCATGGGTCTAACAGGAAAATGGACATCAGATCTCCAACTCACATCCTCGGGCCAACCCACTGGAAAAACGATCTGGAAAACAGGTGATCTGGTTGACAAAGCAGAAAAACACTACGGGCTTACTACTTTCGCTGCTGCACTGAATCAAGTCACGTCCATCGAGCAGGATCGCATGGCGCCCACTGATTCCCGCTTGCGACCTGACCAGCGCGCGTTGGAAGACGGTGATGTAGATAAAGCCGAGGCGCTGAAGGCGAAGCTGGAAGAGCGTCAGCGGAGTCGTAGGCGTGTGTTGGAGGAACATGGCCAGGAGTGGCAGCCTAGGTGGTTTACCAAGGTGGGGCCTGTCGAGGCGGCGGCGTTGGGCGATGAGGAGGTTTGGCGGTTGAAAGGTGGGAAGGACGGGTATTGGGATTGTAGGGAGCGCGGCGATTTTGGGGATGTGGAACAGGTTTTTGAGACGTAGACGTAGACGTAGATATTGGGGAAGTAGCGGTTGTGAGAGTGTTGTGGAATCTACAAGGTTTTCAGCATTCGAGTTGGGGTTCGACTTGATGTGATGTAGTCTTATTGGTATGACATGAAGTGTGCGAGTTGATCTCGAAAATAAAGGTCTTTGGTATATAATACTAATTCGAGAATGTATACCAAATACTGGCACGAAACACCATAATACCCAAGACACTCATTCACCCATGGGTCTCAGGGGCAGCCGGCAACCTCAAACACCACGCAATGCTAAGAACCAAAACGTGCAAGCTTTTGGTGTCATCGTCTATAACAGAAAGACCAAGCTGGAAAAGAAGAAGGCAAGCCAAAGCCCAACACTAGCACCCAAGCAAGAACTAACCCCACGTTTGGCAAGCAGCTCAAATCTCAATATCCATGCCAATATCCATACTAGCAATGATATCATCATCCATCTTCGGCTTCCTAAACGTGGGCAGACCTTTCCGCTCCGTCTTCTTCTTCTGCGGCTGCTGCGGGTTCGGGGTGTTCGCTCTGCTGGAGCCATCGCCATCGAATAGGGCATCAACATCCAGGTTGTTGCTCTTCTTGAGCGCCTCTTCCTCCTGCGCCTTGCGAGCTTCTTCCTCGGCCTTGCGCCTAGCAAGTTCCTTCTTCTGCTCCATCTTCTTCTGGCGCTGTTGGTCGAACTGCGCTTTGCGCACGCGCTCGGCTTCCTGGATGCGATTCTTGCGGTTCAGTTCGGCGATGCGGGCGGCGGCTGTTTCTGATTGGGTTGCGATCTTGGGCTGGGCGTCGGCGTTGGGGCGGTTGAGGAGGTGGGCGTACTTCTTCGACTTTGCGATGCGCGCGCTGATGTCGGCGTCGGTCCAGTGGTGGTTTTGGAGCGCCTTGAGGTCGTCGTATTTGCGCTGGAGGAAAGATTGTGTGGGGACCTTGGCGTTGGTCTCTATGAGGGATTGCCGGTAGGTGTCGAGGTCGTTCTCGGTGAAGCGCTGGTTCGACATGAATTGGAACTGGTAGTCCTTCTTCACGGAGCCGTGTTGCGCAATAACGTATTGATCGGTCGCGACGCGCTTACCGTCTTTGCCGTCAAAAACGTACGGTTTGCCAGCTGAGAAGCCTGGATAACATGTTAGCATAGTTTGTAGCACAGCCGGTGTCGTGCATACCCTTGATTTGCGCCATCTTGTACAGAGTCCGCCGTTGTGAGTCCTGGCCGACGCCCACACGTCCGAATGCGCCAGTCAGAGCCTCCTCAAAGCCTGGGTGGAAGCAGACTTCTGAGAAGAACCCGCGACCAACACGAACCGACTCGAAATCGCGGAGGGTGGCAGGCAGCTCTTCGCGAGCCTTCTCTGGTGCTCGGTCGTCCCACTCCACGTCGCTCTCACCATCAGCGTCAACGTCTGAGCCACCGTCACGATCTCCCGAGCTGGACCGCCTGCGGCCACTGCGTCGGTCGTCGTTGCGCTGTCGTTGCTGGCCACGCTGCTCTCGCTCACGCTTGTATGCCTCGAGCTTCTCGTTCTTCCGCGGTTGTACCTTGGGGCGAGTGCTCCTGCGCTCGTCGGCGTCTTCAGAATCAGCCTTGCGCTTCCTGTCGTTCTGGACGTTGGCGGCGCGCCTGGCGAGCTCAGCCTTGAAGTTGGCGCTGCTCATCTCCTCGGCACGCTGACCGAGGATCTCTTCCCGCTCCAGCTGCGATAGGCCCAGGATGCGGCGCTTGTCTGATTCGTCGATGTACTTGCCCTCTAGGGGGTAGGGGACGTCTGCGGAGCGCTCTGGTACGTCATCGTCACGATCTGAATCCGACTCGTCCATGGCGTCGGAACCCAGCGAGTTTGGCGACGAGGCTGCGGGCGACGAGCTACGTGGAGTCAGCGCCATGTTGCGGTAGGGGGTTGAGCGGTCGGTGGAGAACAGAGCGGAGCGGAACGGAGAGGAGAGGAGCGAGGGAAAGGAGCGAGGCAGAGGCAGAGGAGGATAATGATAGGTGAGAGATGGTACTCACGCCTCGCCTTCTTCGACGTCTGCATCTTCGTCACCGCCAGCCAGGGCGAAGAGCTCGTCGTCGATATCATCGGCCGACATGTTGAGTGGGATTGGCGAGGATTTCGCGGTGATTTCTGGATCGTGGAGGCGCGTTGGAGACGGACCCGGTGTCGCAGAGGGTGCCGTGAGTGAATTTGGGCGTGATTAGGGGGGAAGAGGATGAAAGAAGAACGTGGGAAGTCCAAAGGTCGGGGAAACGCTCGTTGAGCTCAGGCCATGCCGCGTTGAAAAGTGGGCCGTGTTAGCGTGCCTTGAGCGCATCATACCTCACCCGCCTATTGTCCGACTCACTGAATTCGAGAACAATAGCTTCGCCCCTTCACCTGTTCACCCGTATTACCTGTACTGCACCATAGCCCGGCCTGGAACATGTCTCCCATATTGCTCTCACCGCGGGCATTATCGCGCAATGTGGCCCGTCGCAGCCTCCAATACCCTGTGCTCGACTTTCTTGCCCCCAGTACTACATGCCCACCACGCCAAACGTCACGCCTGGCCAGCACCGCCTCCGCACCCCAACCCCCGCCTTCACAGCCCGACTCCGCGCAATCACCGCCTTCACTGCAGACGCAGAAAGATGGCAAACCCATACGGCCGCTGTCACAGCAGCAGCAGGAGTTCCTCTCTTCCGCGCTGCGAGTGAACCAGACGGGTGAACTCGCCGCCATCCTCATCTACGCTGCCCAATCCCCCGTCCTCACACGGTCACACCCGCACTTGCGACCGCTGATGAAACACATGTACGACCAAGAAGCCGGCCACTACAAGTTCTTCAACGAGGTCATTTCCAAGCACCGCATACGACCCACCGCAATGACGCCCATATGGACCGCCGCCGCCAGCATGCTCGGGTGGTCGACCGCTGTCATGGGCCGCGAGGCCGCCATGGCATGCACAGAGGCTGTTGAGACGGAGATCGGCAACCACTACAATGAGCAGGTACGCGTGCTGCTCGACTGGGCGAACAAGTGCGAGCAGCGGGGTGAGAGTCTGGGGCCCGAGCTGGACAAGTTGGTGGTTGAGCTGCGGCGCATTAGAGATGAAGAGCTAGAGCACCTGGACCATGCGGTGGAGAATGATGCCAAAAGCGCGAAGCCCTATGATTTGCTGAATGAAGTTATAAGAGGAGGATGTAGAGGCGCCATTTGGGTGAGTGAACGTGTATAGTGTGATGTATGACTGAGACGATCTTGTATATACTGTAACATATTTGACACGCATGCCTGGCTATTCCGTTTACTTTCTTCCTTCAGGTGAGGGGTGGTGAGGGCTTCATTCTTCTGTCGGCGATACCGTTGGCGATGCTTCCTTTACCACATTCGCTTTCAAGCCAAGCATCTCACACATTTGTTGCTCAACTTCCTCGCTTTTATACGCCAGTCTCTTCCTTGTCTTCTTTGATACCGATGCTGGTCAGGGTGATGAGGGTTTCATTCTTCTGTTGGCGATGCTCCCTTTACCTTCTTTGCCCTCTAGTCAAAAGTCTTAAACATTTGATACTCAGCTTCCTCACTTCAACACGTCAATCTTTCCTCTTCTCTTCTATCCTCTGATTTCAATGTTGATGTTCATACCTCACACGTCCCTCAGCCAACTGCGCGATTTTCCCCATTTCTCGCTTTCACCTTCACTTAAGCTCCCACTCCACCAAAACACGCTCTCACCACCACAACAACGCCGCCATCACCACAACAACGCTGCCACCCACTCTTCCCACCACCCCATCAATCCCATTTACTTTAACCTCTACTAACTCCCTCTCTCTCTCCTAATATATACCACTTACTTCGACAATTTTCTATCAAAACAAATGTCCGGCACAACACAAAGTACTGCCAACCGACCCAACTCGGGTTAGGTTAGAGGTTCGATCCCTCTCAGTGACACATAACAGATGGGAGATTCATCCCCATAAGGGGCGTCGGGTATCATGTACCTGCTAGGCTTGCTTAGCGGGTATATGGCACCTGAGTCGTCCGGCTAAGGGAGACGTCCCTTGGCTGGGTGTGCTCGAGTAACGTTTGAGAGTGAATCATCGAACTGGCGGAGGCAGGGGCCTGTTCCATTGATCTGTTATTTTTGCTAATTTTTTTTTTTGCATGTTGTAGTACGAGCGACACTTTAATTATGTATAGCTAGGGTGTAGGCGGTGGAACTCAGTTAGTTCGGGATGCAAGAGGTTAGCAGTTAGAAATTAAAGGTGCATTATGCGTGCGAGGGCATTGAAGGAGGAGAGTAGGGATAGGCTGTGGAGGTAAGTTTAGAAATGGTAGATAAGTATAGAGAAAAAGCTACAGCGAAGTGATACCTATCTAGCGCACTACATAACACCCAACACCACGTGCGTACATGCTGAAAACATCACCTCCGCAACACCTACTCAAACCCACCACCAAGATCGCTAAGCACACTCCTCATTCCTTGCTTCCTCCCACCCTCAACTTTCTTCCTCAGCGCCTCCTTCCGCTTCCCCTCCTTCTTCTCCAGCAACGCCCTCCGCTCCGCCTCTCGCGCCTGGGCATGTATGTTGCTCCGTCCCGTACCTCCTCTCCTCACCCCACTCTCCTTCGGCGCACTGCTACCTGCGGACCGTTCGCTACTGACAGACAGATTACTAGTTGCCTGGCGTATGAGCGACGGAACGCGGAAGCCCGGTGTCGCAGCTGCGCGCGATGGAGCATGGAAAGCGAGATTGGTGTCTGCGCTCACAGACTCTTCGACTGTGGATTGCCGACTTAGAGTCAGGCGGTCGATGATGGGTTTGCGCGCTGCGGAGACGAAGGCGGGTTCGTGGTCGTCTTCTGCGTCCGAGAGCTGCGAGTCTGGGATTACGATGCGCGTGTCTTCGATGAGCTCTGAGATGGAGTCTCTGACGTCGTCGGCCGTGAGGGGCTTGCGCGCGAGGCTCTCGGATGCTGTTGTGCGGCGCATGTGTGGGGGTGGTCGGTTCTCCTTTTGGGAGTCTTGAGACTTGCGCTTGAGTGGGCTGTTTGGTGCCGATAAGTTTTGAGAGGCGGCCTGGGAGTCTGGGACGGCGATGACGTCGCCTTGCACTTCCTCTTGCGACTGCGACTGCGAGTCGTTCATGCCCGGCTCCTTCTCGGGCATATTGAGATAGTCGTACTCGCCTTCGTCGTCGAAGTCAGCTAGTGTCTTGAAGAACGCCTTCTTCTTGTCATCGTCGGCAAGCGCCTTGACCTTCTGGTCCTGTAACAAAGCGTTGGTCTGCTTTTGGAAAGCAGCGCGCTTCTTGCGCTGGCGCAACTCGGCCTCGTCTTCGGAGTCAGACATGTCAAAGCCGTCATAGCCGCCACCACCTCTGCGAAGGCCACCCTTCCTCTGCATCTTCTTGTAGAGCTCGGCGAGGTGCTTTTCGTCATCTTTCTTGGTCTTGTCACTGCATTGCATTAGTATTGACATAACATGTAGATGGAAGTTGAACTTACGCGTAGAAAGCGGCAATCTGGCGCTCGTTGACTTTGACGTCGTTGTGGTCAATCATGTCCTTGAGGTCTTCGTCTTCCTCGCCTTCCTCATCGTCACTGGCTCCTCCGAGCCCGGCGTATTCGTCCTCAGACTCCTCAGCTTGTTCCATGACGGCTTCTCTCGCCATACTCTTCTTCTTGTCGAATTCCTCAGCTGCCTTGGCCTTCTTAGCTGCTTGCTGCATTTTCATGAAAGCATCTTTGCTGAGCTTAGGAGGGCGTTGGATGTCGTCCTCGCTCTCGTCCTCAGCATCGATCAAGTCGTCTTCAACGTCAGAGAGCTCAACAGCAGCCTCTCGCCGTCCACGTTGAAGCTTGCCCTTCTGCTTGATGGGCGACTCAGCAATGGGCACCATGACGGTGTCGGTTGTTGATGGTGGCGGGGCAAGGCCTGCTGGGGACCGAGAGAAGGAGAAGCCTGCATCCTGTGTTGGTTCAAAGTCTTCGACCTGGGTCCGCGAGAATACGGGGGAAGTCCTGACGACTTGGCTGATCCCCATGCTGAATTGAGACTCGTCACCAGTCTGTGTTTGCTTCTGCGGCGACATCAAAGTCTGACTGTTGGGGACTACAAATTCTGAAGCCTGGCTAAAGTTTGCGGCGGGCTGGGTGTCGGGCAGATTTCGTAGGAACTCTAAAGAGTCTTGTTCGGTGTTGATAACGGCAGCGGGTTGGGAGTCAGACTCCAACTCGGCCATGGTGCCTGCAAACATCTGTGTGAGGCCTATGCCGGTGTTCGCATTGCCGAACCCAAAGGCGGCCATTGCGTCGGTTTGAGTTGCTGGTTGAGTGGGTGTGGCAGGCCTAGGAGCCTCTGCATCATCATCGTCGTCATCGTCAACGACTCGGTTGCGGGCACGGTTGATAGTTTGCCTTCGGACAGGAGCGATGGCATCTTCGTCTTCCATATCAACATCTTCGTTGGCGTTCTGGGCTTGCACTGTCTCCTCTGGCTCGTGGTCCTCGTCAGCCATTCCGTCGATGAGAGGATTGTCTTCAGCGTCCTCTTCCATCTGCTCATCTTCTGAGCCTGATAGAACAACCTCGGCTTCTTCTTGATCATCGTCCTCTTCTTGATTGGCGTCCTCCTCGCCGCTACCGACATAGTCGCCGTCTTCATCATCGCTGGAGGGAAGGTCATCGATGGTCTCGCCGTTCTTCTTCGCCTCCTTCCTCTCCATTTTGGCTAGCTCAAGATCCTCCTGCCTTTGCTTCTCGAGCATTGCTACCATGTCGTCGATCTCCTCTTGGCGCTTCTCCCTCTCCTCTTCGGTCTCAGGGTTGTGGCCTCGCTTGATCAAGTCGGCTATTCTCTCCTCTTTGGCCTTCGCAGTCTGCTGGCGAGCCTTCTGAGCTAGGGCGAATTCCATCTCACCACGAGTCACTATCTTCTGTCCCTTCTTGCCCTTCGGTGGTGACTTGGTCAACTGAGCGAGAGCACGAAGATGTACGAATGACCCTGCCTCGTTATCCTTCTTTGTGGGTAATCGGTCAAAGACGGGGAATCGGCTCTTGGGCTGTTCCACCTTTGCATCATCGTCCGAGTCCGAAAGTTCCACCATGTCACTGTCGGAGGTCTTTTTGGTTTCCACCGCCGCTGTATGCACAGTGACTGGCTCTGCCTGCTTCATCCAAGGATGTACCGGCAAGTGTTGGAACTCGGGTGCTCGCCCTTTGCCCTTGTCCACTCTCGCGGACTCGGGTGGCTGAATGTTGCTTTCGGGCGCTGTAGTAGATGTTTGTTGATCTAAGGAAGCACCCTTTTCTTCCGTAGCATTTTGTCTTTGGGGACTCGTCGGTGGCGTATCCTGTATTTGGTTTACCTCTACATCAGACGATGTAAGGGCTGAGCTGGCCTCTGGCGTCGGGAGAGGTACGACTTCGGCGTTAGGCGCTTGGTAGTTGAACTTCTTGAAAAGATCCTGGGTCGTGAAGCGCTTCTTTGTCTTGGCTTGGTGGGTAAGCTGCATGTTACGGCTTATGCGCTGCTGGTCGCGGGCCATTGCCTCCAGGGCCTTCTTGCCAGCTTTGCGGGTTGGCTTCGCTTGTTGTGTAAGTCGCCTGCCGCTCTCGCCATCCGACTCGCTGCCAGAGCCCTGATCTGCTAGCCGTCGTGCGAGCTTCTTAGATTGTGCCTGCTGCGCTTCTTCCTCTCGCTGTTTCGCCAACCTTTCCTCTCGAATGCGTCGTACCCGCTCTTGCAGGTCGGTAGTATGGATGGGCCGCGAAGACTCGTCGGAGTCTGAGCCGGCATTCGCTGATCGCCGTGATGGCTTCTTAGCCGGTGATGGACCCGGAGTCACAAAGAGACCTGGAGAGGATCGTCGTGATCGTACGCTTGGCGATGCGGATGCTCGAGGGCTTACAGTCTTCGTCCGGGTTGTGGCTGGTTTGCGGATGTTCGCTCGTACAGGCATCGCGTCCTCATCTTCGCTACTTTCGATGGTGGAGACAATTGGTGCTTCCTGCTGTGCTTGCTGCGGGATGGCCGATTGTGCTGTTGATGAGCTCTTGTTGGCAGCGAGCCTCTTCTTCATGAGTTCGTATGCGTCTTCTCCATCGCTCTCGTCTTCCTCGTCAACCTGCGTTGTCTCCGGCTCCCGACGTGTTGTTATGGAAGGCTTTGCGCTGATTGTGGGTGCTGTGTCATTCTCAGATGCAGACGCGTCACTATCAGATCCGGCTTCGCTATCTGAAGAGTCCACGGTTTTGCGCAGAGCTGCTAGCAGCTTTGGCCGAGGCTTCGCGGACGCGTCGACTGCGCGTGTCGGGGATGTTGATGCTGAAGTCATGGTGTATGCTGAAGTCCCTAGATTGGGCTCGTAGAAATGGGTGTTAAGAGGCGCTGGCGGTTCGTATGTTCTGAAATGTGATGGTGGTCGTAAGTAGAGGCCGCGTGAAGTCTTCGTAGATGGGGTAGACCAGGAAACCCAGATGGAGGGGTATTAAACGCGTAATGCAAGTACTGAAGATGTATATCGAAAGACGTAATAATTTTGCAAGGCTGGATACGTTCAATTGCACATGCACATGGCGGGGAAGTGTCGTGGTTGGAACAAGCTTGGACTACGCGTGATTCTGGAGGTCGTGACACGCGACTTGCGACGCGACTTCTCGCGCTTGCCAAATGTGGCTTAAGTGCCACCTTTCCTTTTTCTCTCCACCACCAGATCGCTCCACATCACGATGCATCGCATCGTCTGAGACAACGTCGCAGTTGGCGACTTCTACCGGAATACCAGCAGGACATGCTTCATTTCAGACCGCTCGCTTTCCTTTATCCGCGTGACCCGCCACTCACAAGCCTCGCTGAGTTCTCGGCTAAAAAGTCCTCCACCATCCCACATGACACTGTCGTCGCGTGTGTTGTGTGAGCAAGATACATGGGTTGCGCTCCGAAAGAGATGAATTTCTTGATTCGATACCACCACATCCCGACCACTTCTGTTTATCCATTTAGCCAAGATTTCGATCGCGCTGTCCTAACCGTGATAGTCCGTCTCTGTTAGCAAGAAACCAACGGGACGGCGTGTCGCGGACTGATTGGGCACGTCGACATCATATGTCCATACGAGTGCGAATGCGTCAGCCCTATGCCTCTTTTCTGACCAAGTAGTAGCAGATCCACTGCAGGAGTTTGCTCCGCCACAAAACACACGATCAGCATGAATGCAGACTTCCATGCAATTTGAGTATCTCCTTTGTTGAGGCTGCGATTTGGCGTAAACACGATGGAGGCCTGATCACGTTTCATGGAAGCCGAATCATCGTCGCTTACAAAGGACTCTGCGCGTGAATCAGACGTGCAACTAGGTTCTTAGCCTCCTGGATTTCGAATTTGATGCAGGTGTAAGTTCACGGGGTGTAGGAGTTGTTTTGCATGAACTCTGGCACACAGCCTCGATGGATACCTTGGGCACGCACAGGCAGCTGCGCCGCAGAACACCCGCTTGGTCAGCTCATCTTCACGATGATCATACTGGTGGCCAGTCCTCTCTACAGCGGGCGCGTTTCGACTTATGCAAGGCGGTGGTCATAGCAGGAGGGAAGGTCGACGTTTTACAGGCGTCTTACCTGTTGCGATCGGACCATGGTGCTCCGCCAAAAATAGCACCCGTTCCTTCGTCGGTAACGCGTACCCCAGAGAAAGACCGTTGCCAGCCAAGCAGATCTTGCAAGGGCCACTTTCACTTTGACTGCTCGCGAGCATGGCTGGAGCGATCATTCGACGTTATGCGGGATCTGCAGAACTCCTTGCCTTATCTCGCGTCCACATGCGTCTGAAAGATGACGACAGACGTGAGCAACAAGCGCCTAACACGCTACCACGCGTAACGCGCCATTGGTGGCTTTCCGCCGAAACGAACGCGATGTGCTGTAGCAACAGAACTACCGATGCGGCCATCGCGATGGTACCTGTTGTTGCTCACGGAACTGACTGCGAAACGCCTCAGGCTGGCTTTTTAGTGTTGGTTGTTCGATGTGTCTTACAGGGCCACCCTACTTCTTTGAGCACTGCCACCAGAACGGCACTTTTGCAGGAACGCATACTGCGACGAATTTCGGGCCAATGGCCGAGTGCGAACTTCTCTTACAGCGCGATGGATCGTAGATGGTGGGGGTGAGGAGTTGGGATTATGTCACGTCTGATGCAAGCGACGGCTCCAGATACCTTTTACGCGTTCGACAGTGAGGTGGAGCGGTACGACAGCTTTCAGATGGCGAGCAGATGCACGTTTCATGTGGTCTGCTGAATTACCCCTGAGAATGCGGCCCTAGGTTAGTAGCGCTGGGGGTCCCTGCAGCGCCGGCGCGGCGATCTCCCTTAGAGCATCGTGAGGCTCGACGCGTTCAGAATTTGAGATCGCGAAAGGAGAGATCACCATGGACAATATTGATCACTAGAGGGAGTTGCTGCAGCGCCGGAAACTCTCCGTGCAATAGTCATTTGCTCTAGTACCAGACTGGTGTGGAGGCATGCATGCCTGGGTGCCTGCATGCCAAGGCAGCCTCTTAGTGCCCTCTTGAAACCCGTGAAACAGACCACGGATGTTGCTCTTCTAAACAAGAGCCGTCCGTCTCCGCCCGGAAATTGGACGATCAATGTCTTCCTGGCGGCCTAAGAACTGAGCTTATACCCATCCGTATACCGTCAAAAGCTTCTCGAACGCTTCCATTTCGCGCGCACTCGCCCTCCCTACATAGTAACCACAGCTCTGCCCGCCCAAGACGGACCGTGAACCACCAATCTCCGGCATGATACTGGCGATTGCGCATACATCGAGATAACATGGAGGCCGACGACGCTCAACTCTACCAATTCAGCACCCCTCAGCAGAGCAACTCGTTCAAGCGCGCGCGGCGCAGTCTACAAAGCTCCACGCCCTTGAGCAGCGTGACCGAGAGTGTCACTTCTTCCCCCCGTCACTCTGGCCAGAACCAGTTGGCACCTCAGCTCTTTGACCATGTCAATGCGCTGAAGCATCTTGATGACCAGCAGATCCTCCAGCTACTTTCCGTTGCGCGCAATGGAGGTCAGTCAACGTTCAGCCCTGGCGGCGCGTTGTATGCTCACGCGTATCCAGATGGTATGCGTCGGTCGGGCGCCGACCGATCGTCCATGTCGACCGTCGGAAGCCGCGCGTCATCATACCTGAGTGTACCATCCAGCAGAGTACCCAGCATGCTCTCGGACCCGCGCTCGTCCATCGCGTCTACCGACTCGTCCTTTACACACTACAGTGCCGCATCCTCGCGCCTGTCGACCGCATCATCTCGTCTCTCCACAATCTCCACCACATCGACGCCCGCGCCCAAGAACTTTGCCTGCACATTTTGCGACAAGGCTCTCAAGTCGAAGCCATACTGGAAGTCGCACGAGGAGGAGTTCCACGAGCAGCGACTTACCTGGAGATGTCCCGACTGCGAGCAGATCTTCCATGCTGGCAAGCGCTTCCGTGAGCATCACACCAAGCTACACGTACGTCAGCATTACCCTTCATCTAGATTCAAGGCTAACAATTTACAGGGCTGTGAACACTGCAAGCAACCGAGGGAAAGCGGTCAACCCACGAGCAGGAAAGCATCGCCATGCGTCAAGAAGTACGAGATCGTCATGCACGACAAGGACGCCTGGGGTTGTGGTTTCTGCGCTTCTCTTCTAACCACCTGGGAAGAAAGATGCGAACACATCGCTCTTCACTTTGAAGAGAAGGGCGGATCCAAGTGGAACTTCACCAACGTCATCCTCGGTCTGCTGAAGCAACCCGAACTCGCCAGCGCATGGAACCAAATGATGCTCGATCGCCATGGCGACGAATCAAACTGGCCGTCGCTGGCGTGGGAGTCTAAGAAGTGCAACCGCTTACGGTATAAGCTCGAGACCAAATGGGATACACGCGTTTTCGACATTGAGAAATTGGTGCAGGACACCTACGACTTGGCCGAAATCGAGGTGAAGGACGTCGTCGAACCCACGACTGAACTCACGCCCGAAGCTCCGGAGTCCCTCGACAACAGCCAAGGCGAAATCGTGGAGTTCAAGTTGGAGTCGAATGACTTCATGACGGACAACAGGTTGCATAGCTCCCACGGCCTACCGTCCGATAACAGGCTCCACAGCTCGCACGGTCTGCCGTCTGAGCATATGATGATGGACATTGACTCTGTAGAGCCCCCACAGATGCATCATCAAGATATACAACAATCACAATGGCCGGTCAGCCAGGACATGCACCACAGCATGAGCGCGGCAACCGCCATGGGTGGCTTCGGTGCTTTCGATACCACCATGACGTCGATGCCAACGGACTTTTCGCAACCGATGGCGCAAAGCTTTCAGCCACAGCAGCAAAGCTGGCCAAACGCCGGCTTCGCTTCGACTCCCGACCTGCTCAGCTACCAACAACCAGCGCCATACATGGACTACCAGCAACCCAAGGAGATGGTCTCTGTACCCACATCGCAGTACTCCAACTTTGCGCACTACCCCCGCCAAAGCCTCCCACCAAACTTCTTGCAGCAGCAACAGCAGCAGCACCAACAACAACAACAGCAACAGGCGCCCAGCACGCCAACCTCTCGTCGCTATGTCCCCAGACTAATTAATATTTCGAACAACTCGAGCCACCGCGGCGTTCAACTCGAACAGCCACCACCCCCACCACCCAAAGACGAGCACCAAAACCGCTTCTCCCGCCTCATCATGAGACGGCGCCCAAGCAACATCTCCCAGCACAGCATCGTCTCGCACCGCGATATGGGCGGAACCTGGGGCGACGATTCCAACTGGGGATAACTCTGATTCAGCACTCTCTCCACCGCGCATACACGCACATAATACCACCTTTTGCACCCTCGGCTGGCCCGACCACGCACACTCTCCTTAGAAACAAACAAATAAAGCACCGCAACAGGTGACTCCGAACCTCGCTGTTCGTCCCTGGGTCCTGGCTCTGCCCTGCACCCCTCGACGAAGCGAGCTACACGACACCTCAACGGAGATAGTACCCACACAAGCAGCTTCATCAGCTCTTGCCACTTGTTTTTCCTTTACCGTTTCCTTTCTCCTTACGTATACATCAGTGTTTTCAGCGGGATGGGATGAGGATATACCCATATATGCAGCGAATTGCCTTTTTTCCCCAACCATTTTTGCTTGTTGTTGTCGTCGTTTCGTGCGCACAACGTGGTTTAGTGTCTCTTGTTGAGAAGTTGTTCAACTATCTTTGCTTGCTTGCATGCACATGCACCTAATACCCCCGCACCTCTTTTTTCATGTTGCCATTTGGTTGCGACGCGATTGATGTAATGATGGGGTTTGGAATGAAATATCTAGGATAGGGAAGGAAGAATGTGATGGACAGGGCAGATACCATATAGAGTTACTTCAATGTGTTTGTCAACTTTGTTTCATACGGTGGCTTTTGACTGGCTCAGTGATGTTTCGTGTTACTACTGTGCTTCATACGTTAGATTTTGAATGGCTTGGTGATGTCGTGTGATGGCACTGTGGAAGAGACATCACATTGCAATGGTTGATGTCAATGTGAGCGTATTGATTGTATTCTGCAGGTCTTACATTTAGTGCCTATGTATGCCTCACGCCGCCCGTGTAAACTCCACGACCGCTATCTACAAGACCACACGTCCACCCATGTACCCCTGCATGCACCTATGCTGCTCAGAAACGCAGCGGAAGCACAACCACTTCTTGTCGTTGAAGAGGTGGTTGGCCAGCTTTTCATCCGCAAATCCGATGGCCGCGTCCCTAACCTTGGTATCGACAGGAAGGTATTGCTTGTCGTTGCGAGCAAGACCATTTCCGAAATTAGCCAAATCGATCACCATTGACGCGTGCTTTTTTCGCTGAGATGCTGGCACCTTGAAGGCGCACAGCACCTTCTCGACTTGCGCGTGGAGGTTGGCAGGCTGGGCTTTCTGAAGCCCAGAGAGGCGTAGAGAGCCGTGCTTCAGCTGCTTGAAGACGACATGGGATGTCTCAGGAGGAAACTCCTTCCTGAGGTCCCTCACGATCTTGTTCGTGAACTTGCGCTTTGGCGCCACGACCTTGTCGCCCTCAGGGTCGTTCTTGTTGCGGGAACCAGAGGTCGAAACCTGCGTTGTAGGCTTCACGGGCTCTTCAGGCATGGCGGTTAACTTGCTTAAAGCTGATGTCTCCGCCCGGCTTGCTTCAGCCTCCTCCACCAGTCGATCAACCTGGGCTTGTAGGCGGCTCATGGCCCCCATCAACTCCTCGACTTTCGTATCAGCCTTGATACGCGCAGCTCTCTCCTCTTCCAGAATGCTCAAGATCATCTCCAGCTGACCCTTGTCGGGAGAAGGCGCCAGGCCAGTCTGAGTGGAGGTGGACTTCGATGGGACGGAGTCTAGAGAGACCGCCAGTGACGAAACGACCTTGGGAGGGGAATCGTCTTTGCTGATGGAACTCGGAGGTAATGATGGTGAAGGAGGTGAGATGTGTCGTGATCTCTTCTCCTTGGGCTCTGTCGATAAACTAGGCTGCGGTGTTGACGGAGCTGCAAACGAAGTTGAAGAAGCACCAAAGTCGAAGACGAGTTTAGTTGCTGGGGCCCGCGATATTGTCTTCTCCGCTAACACGGTATCGACCATTGGGCTTGCAACAAGAGGGCCAGGCGCCAACTTTTCATTAGACTTCTTGGAGAGCGAGGCTCTCTTCAGGGGTGCCATCTTCCTTCCTGGCACTTTGGCTGCAATCGACGAGAAAAGTTTGTCTGCGGGCTTCGCCTCCGTATCAATCTTGCCAAAGATGGACCCACCATCGGGGCCGACGAAGGGGTTTGCTGTCACTGGACCTTCTGAATTATCGGGAGCGAGTGTTGACACTGCTGGAAAGCTCGTAGCTATACCAGGAAGCTGGCACGGGGAAGCATCATCGGGCGGCGAAACGACAACCTTGGGGGTGTCGTTATCGTTCTGGACAGGTTCGACAGTGACATCCTCCAAGGCAAGGTTCGTCTGAGGTGCCAGCGGACGAGCGGGAGTGGTGTTGGGTGTAACGCCTTCCGGGTACTTTGTAGCGTCCCTTAGTAGCTCTGAGAACTCTCGCCACTCGCCTGGAAGATCGGCACGAATTATCTCGAGCCTCTCAATGAGATCTGAACAAAGTTGGTGATAACTTGTTATATCCGTCCTATGGTCCCATGTTGACTTCTCGAGTCCCCTGACGTACGCACGGAGAGCCGCGTCTGACAGGATGAGCGTCGGCTCGGGACAGTCGCTGGGGACCTTGTTGCGACACTCAATCACGAGATCAACTATTCTCCGCGCATAGTTCTGGCGATCTTTCGCTTGGCTGGCGCGGTCGCTCATGGTGTATGTTGGGGTAAAGGTGGTCTGCTTGGTATCGTCGGGTAAAGGTGGATCGTTTGGTATCGTTGAGGTAAAGGTGACGGTTTGGTATTGCTGAGGTAAAGGTAGACTGTTTGGTGTCGTGAGTCGGAAATTCTGCAATCGAGGTGGAAAGGATAGTTTATAAAAGATGGAGATCAGTACCGTGCGATTATATAGTATAATGCGGAGCTGTGACTTCGAAGTGAATTGGAGTGTTTACGCCTTGGCGCTCAGTCGTAGCGCTGCACAATAGCAGACGCTGGTATTGTCGCTGAAGCTCGAAGATGTCGCAGAGTGCTAGTGCAGGCGGTGTCGAGCAGTATCACTGGTGAAGGTGGACTTATGAGAGATTGACGAGACTTGTTGCTGGACGCAGCGGGGGTTGTGGACGTTTGAAAAGAGGAAAGTTTGAGCGCAGGCGGGGAATACAGAAACGCAAGTGCGAGTAACTGTTAGCGCTATCAAAAATCGCACAGGCTATGCGGTATACGTGAGCAGAAAAGGGTGGAGCGCGTGGCGGGTATTAGCCATGACGCGTTTGCGCTGAAGGCCTTTCACTACGTCTAACGCAAACCACAGATCTTCCGACTGAGCATTCTGGCTCCTGAATGAGACTGTGACGCCGAATACCAGCAATATCTATTGGGTCTGATTTGATTTGATCTATTGGGTCTGTACGAGTATTCGGGGTGACACCGACTTTTGAGGCATTCACCGCCAAGAGTTTGTCCATCAGTATGGCTTGTCGGTGACGCAATAAGCCTCGAAAGCGCAGAATGCGACAAACATTCACGAGAAACTCCGCGTGCGTTTCTTGACTGCCCGATATATCCGCAAGTAATACCAGATCTGCTCTTTCTAGTGATGTGAACGTAGTTGCTTACATGCCATATGTACGGACCTCCAGGAGCCTGGGGACAACAGAGGAAAATGGTGCAATGCCATTGAGAAGATGAGAAAGCATTTCCCATACATGGAAACAAACAACGAGAGATATCCGAGTACAAGGATCTTGGATCTTCTACCAAAAGCTCTGTTGTGTTATCTCGTCCTTCATGGTGGGCGTTTGTGTTGGGACGTTAATATGCACGTTGTAGTAGCATGAGTGATGATCTAGACATATCAGCGTTCGATGCGTGTGCAGAATCAAACAAAGACGCCAGTTATTCACGCATGCGACGCGATGGTGAAGAGGAAGGAAAGAAAGGGCTGGCGTTGAGGTTGGATTGGGCTGGCCCCACTTCGGACGGACCGCTCCGACATGAGCCCGCAAATCACCCAGACCACGGAACGTCTGGTGTCCTTCAGTTGCCAGGCTAGGGCGAGGTGTCCGCTTGTAGATGACTTGGCAGTTGCCCATTTCGAGTAATAATGGTCCTGGGCGACATTTGCATGCGTGAACTGCGGTACACAACGTTTAGACTCGCAAGGTCCTACCTAGATGGTCACACCACGGCAGGATTGGTCAATTCGGCTTGCACGTACACTTGGGGTAAGACCGAGTCAGATCGCGCGCAGGTAATCTGCGTGCCGTTGATGACAGCGGGAGCGATGCGAAAAGCGCACTTGTTCGAACTCATTTCGGAGTGCAGAGAGCATAAGTTTTCATAGCGAATGATCGGCATTCACCGGAGTCGTTCCGGCATCACTAGTATATCATTCATTCACACTTCCCGATTTCAATAGCTTTGGTGCCCTGATGGCGGCCATCAGCACTAAAAATGTGGCTAGATCGTTCCATGCTACAGGAGGTTGTCGTAAGCGCACACCATATCATCTAGCTCGTGCTTTCTCCCGAGCAGGTACGCACGGTATAAGCAGGTCGACGAAAAGCGAAGGAAGAACCAGAACCTGCGAAAGGAACATTGTCAGCGAGGCTGTTCCAATCCAAGTCTCACCTGCCATGAGGAATCGCAAGATCGACTTACGCAGCAAACATTGACAGTCCATATGACCATCGCATGAGCTCGCAGCCGTACAGGTTTTCCTTCCATGCCTCTGCACACCCGCGTTCGAGATACCAAGGCCGGAGACTGATATGCTCTGGATCCGAAAGGTCGCCCGAGTTTTGGATTGAGGTACTATACATCCACAGCCCCGCCAGTATGATATCGTACAACGCGTTGACCGTGAGCGTAGAGTGGAAGTCGAGAGTTTGCTTGCTGAACGACATGATTGAGAAGCGGACGAGCCACATGAACAGGGTTATGATGGCAATGCATAGGTTGCATAACGTACAGCTGGTTGAAGTGTTAGACCTCCAAATGGCTGCTGTATTGAGGACGTGGGAGGATACCTTTCATCCCATATCAATGGTATGGGTGGTGATTTCCGATAGTTCGCATAGTCGTATACACGTTGGATAGGATCGGAATTCCAGCCTTTGGTGCCGCCTTCTTTCCATAGTATGCTGCGGAAGCGATCGGGGTATGCAGTCGCAAAGAGAGATACGAGCGCGATGGCTAAGATGAGATCAAATAACGTGGCACTGAGAAAGATCAGATAGGGATTGCGGAGCATGGTGAGCGGGATAATAATTGAGGAGCGACCAAGTCCGACTGCCAGTTCACCGAACGACATAGGATCCGTGCAATGGGATTGTTATGTGACTCAGTGATTGATTCGACAGAGAACGTGCGCTAGCGCGATGTCAGCTCAGTTGTGGTTGTCTCAGGTGCTCAGCGCCACCCCATTCAAGGAAAAAATAGAACACCCTGGAGCTTACATGGACGCTACGCCTCCATATTTGCTCATCGTTGGTCTAATGTAGGCCCTAGGCCTGTTCGGTGTTTTCTTTGTATAAGGTGAGCGCGTCGTGACAGCGGCAAGATTCGGAAGAGAGACATCGAGTCTCCGTCGATCGTCAAGCCTATCAGCACCGAAGACAGGTAGCAATGTGGAGTGAACTACAGTGACAGCAATGCCTTAGCCTGTTCTCTTTGCATTAGCTTGTTGTTCAGTAGGGAAGAACGCCAAGCAAAGTTGCGCAAATGGCCTCATTCTGACTTTCGAGAAGACACACCTCAAATAATACCAACATCGTGTTGCGCAGTTAATGCGATTTAAAAACAAAGTGCGCCCATATGCGCCCATTCCCATGTGCCACCTCACCTGTTGTGTGAGTGGAATGGCTTGCCACATGCACTAACAGTATGTGTATGTTGGGTGGAACGCGGGAACATCATCAGATCCCGCAGTGTATCGCAAAGCAAGTCGGTCATCTATGCTCATTACATTATGCATGCGCGCATATCTTCTGCGCTTGTACTAGACATGGTGATTGATGCTCACCAGTTCTCCTGTCTTGCGACTAATCATCTAATTCTTGCCTTGCCCTTCAAGCTCTCTTAAGCCTTGTCAAGCCCCTCTGTTGTCCTCACCGGTCCTGCCGTAACCACTGCTCTTCTGGCGGAAAGCCTCTTCATCCACCTGTCCCCACAACGCTTCTCTTTGTAATGCCCCTTCCGCCGGAAGCTAACTGCTTGAAAAATAGCCGACGATGAGTGTGAGTTGAGTTCATCTGGCCATTGTTTCGGGCTTCGTCACCCTAGGAAAAATTGAACACCTGGAGCCTACATCGCCGTCAGGTCAGCTACCTTGCATGTATTCATCTTGATGTAGTCTCCAGACATGTTCAAATTTTGCCTGACCAAGACATTCGAATGAGCAGACCAATGCTCCAAGTTTGAACGAACTTGCAGTAGCCGGATCATCGGGTCTTCGCTGTAGGTGCATGCCTCCGGGCGGCTCTTCATGAAATTTTTTTGGCAAGTACCACGTCGCGAGTCCAACTTGATATAGCGGAGGCAGCGTGCCGAGGCGAAGATTGGGTTTGGGGGCCATGATGGCTTGGGCGTTCGTAGGAGGATGGTGTTGGTGGCTTAGGCGTCTGGGCGAAAGATCCATGGATCACGTTCCGGGAATGTGACTGTGACGTCAGATGCGCGTCCTCCCGCAGCGGCACGACTGTGCCACATGGACGTCGACGACAAGTGCGCGCATTTCCGAAGTGACACTGTCGTCCCAAATCGTGCAATGTAGCACCTCAAGTTTTCCGAGAAGCCGCCGTGCTACGCGCCTGCTTCGTGCATCAACGTCGCTACCCCCAACATGCATCGCTGTGGCTAGCCATCTCGACTCTGCGCCCCAACAACGCACTCATAACCGATCAAGGTTATATTCTTTCGTAACTTTGATTTCGTTCAGCCCCAATGAGCCCAGTCTCTCCGAAGGAGCCGATTCATTGCTCAGCGTGACGAAGGCAGCCGCCTGCGGTTTGATGCCTGGCATCCATTGCGAAGGAGGTGCGTTGAGATTCGATGTCGACGAGCCGTTGCTCTGTGTCCGGAACTTCATCCGGCGAAGACCGATACCGCCATCCTCAGTCGGGAGCGGAGGAGTTCGGCGCCACGAAGGAAGCGAACGGACGTTGGGAACGCAACAGCAGACAATACCGACAGCGACCTCGATTGGGGAAAAGCAAATACGCCACCACGACGCACCGATCGGATCATCATTGACGTTACCGAAGACGTCTATCGCGCAGTCGATGCGGAGGACTGCTAGAATTGTACAACTGCGTGGTGTTAGCAAGAGCTATTTGGAGCGAGCGCTTAACTTCACTTACAAGCATCCAAGGAGGAATAAAACCATTACCCACGCCTTCTTCTTGCCTGAGAGATCTGCTGCTGCTATGGCAGGTATTGGGGCGAAGAGGATGACACTATTGAAGAAGACGTGCAGCGATCCGATGATGATGCACGACTTCTTGCTCTGCAGCTTGCACTCTCCCGGTGGATGGCACATGCTGATCCAACCCGCCAACGACCAGATGTACCAGATCGCGATGAGCGCCATAGACACATAGCAAGCGATGCGAGCAAAGACTCTCTTCTCGTACAGGCGGAGATAGGATTTCGCAAACGCCACCTGCACCGTTGCAACCGATGTGGCCCAACAGATATCCAGTGCGAATTGTA